ATGGAGGCTCTTTCCCGTATTTTCTTATTAATAATAAATTCTGTCTTTTTTTTAAAGTAAATATTTGTTCCAAGAAATCTTATTGTGGATATTTGGAGACCATGCGTTGACACACATATATATATATTGGCCTAATGTTTATATAATATCTCAATTTTGACATACTCGAGTGCTTCCAGATATTTATCCGCACCGTAATTTACGTCTAAGTTACCTTCTTGGACGTTGATTTTCAAAAGAGATAAATGTCTTTTTCCATTTTTTAAATCCCCTGCTTTATATATATATATATATATATATATATATATATGTACATGAAAAACAATTACGACAAATAATTAATTTTTCTAAAGGAGCAAATAGCTGATCAGGAAAGCGATTTGTTCCACAATATAAACTTATCGTTATTAGTTTATACTCATGAATTGTTAATTAATATTGTCATGCCAAGAAAAAGTTAGAAAGAAAATATCGTAAACTGTTTCATAAATCCACTAGCTTTGCCTACAATTAATGCTCGTAGTTGCAGATATTCTAAACTAAATTTAAAGTTGAGTTCTCTAATTGAAATTCCCCATCCTACTTTAAATTAATATATATATATATACACACACACATACACTTTTTTAAGCAAAAACTTGATAAAAAAAATAAAAGAAAATTAAGAGCATGAGCTAGGGTTTTGATTTCGGTCTTCTTTTTGGATCGGAGTCCCGTGCTACTATTAGCCAGCATGCAGACTCCTGGTCCTAGCTAGAGGAGAAGCAATTGGTTGGTTGGTGAAATCCTAGAGTTCCCTCATTGTGAATCAATGGGTAGTGGTTGGAGCATGTGGCTAGGTGATCGGCAATGGAAGTGATGCTGCGGCGGTACAAGCGGCGGATCTACGAGATCTAATGGATCTCAGCCTCGGGGGTTGTCCCGGTGGTGCAGTGGGAGGGGTGCTCATCACCTTAGGTATTTGCTGATGATGGAGGGTGATTCTCCTGTGCGTGGTGGCTGGCTCTATCTCATTAGAGCATGCTTATTTACTTCTAGTGATGAAATTTTACCGTTAATCCATTTATTTGCAGGGACCCGAACTAAACGGCGGGAAAAATTCGTTTTAAATGGATCTGCATTGTAAACGATTTAAATTTTTAACCCGTCACGGGTCGTGGACAGAGACGGCTTTAAAGGTTTCTGACCTTATTTCCCGTTTTTCCGCCCCGTTTAATTATATCATATATTTAAAATACATACATACTATATATAGCATAATGTATTACATAATATATCTCAAATTCCTATTTTAATGGGTATATAATGGAAAAAATGAAGCAGTTTTTAATAATGCCCTAGAGATGATCAAAGTGAAATGGATAATGGAAGAAAGGAGCAGAAGATCAGCTTCGCACTGGTAATTATTTAATAAAAGGAGAATCTAAAATAAAATGGACATAATTACATCTCATCCTAAAATTACTCGTCTAGAATATCAAATCATATATAATATCCCAAATATAGCTACCATCAAAATTTTTTCTCTCCACGAGAAAAAAAAGAAATACATATACAATCCCAATTCTTATTAGTGGAAATTTTGTATCCCTTCCAATTTTAGCTCTATTTATAGGTTTTACACTCTAAATTTTTGTACTGACCCTTTCGGAGCTAGTCCTAATTTGATTCCTTTGTCCGGAAGATACTGTGGATATTCATCCATGTCGTCTCGTTTTGGTTTTCATGAAGACTTTCTGAGACTTCTCGGTGGTGTTTAAGGTACTTTGGGGCGTCCTTTTTTGTTTTCCGCTCTTAGATATATACTCCTTTAATTTGTTGCAATTAATAATTGATTTTATCTCTTAATTTTGTTCAATAAGAATTATTTATTTATGTTTTGATATTCTTCCACTAAGTTTCTAAAAGCTGACTTTCGTAACGATGGAGGAATAAGGTCCTCATGTTTCAAGTGATTAAACCGCATTGGCAGTGCAAAAATTTATATTTTTTTTATCCTTCATCCTTAGAGTATCATTATTAATTAATTGTTGCTGTAATTTTTATTTTTGAACAAATCGGGCGACTATAGTGTGATCATGAGTTAATTTCTATTCGTTTATTGATATATATTAATGTTAATTGTTAAATGCGCCCTTTTGTGATCTCCTTCTTCTTCTTCTTATCTTTGGTATTGATAAGTATTTTCCTTGTTAATTTTATGCATCAACTGCAATTATCAACACACGGATCTTAAGGTAATTGTCCTCGTAATTTAAAATTTGCAGTCCATAATATTGTTTATGCAAGATTGACTAATTGATAGTTTATTACAGTAATCCTGATCTCGACTAATTCTTCTCCTTTTTTTTTTTCTTTTCCTTGAAATAATCTATTGGAATATTTATCGCCAAGATCCATTCAGTATGTTTTGTCATTTTGTTTGAATATTAATGTTTGGCATATTATAGGGCGCTTTCTTTCCAATGTGCGCATATTGTGTTTTTAAGGCCTCGTTCATTTCACCGATTCGAGTTTTTAATTCTAGGTTTCTACAGTTAAAAGCTCTCAAAAAATATCATATCTAATTTTTTTTTCTACTACAGTCACATCTCAACTCGAATTAAAAATTCGAATTCGCGAAGTGAACGAGGCCTATTTTCAAATAGGAAGATGAAATGATATGTTTGGTAGTTTCATATATAAACACATACATGCATATACATACATTATAAAATAACTTTATATTGAGAAGTTCAACCCAATTGTACTGTTGAAATAATTAGGATTATTGACCGGTCAAACTCAGTTTGAATTATGCTCACTATTTGAATTTGAGTTTAAGTTGTGAAACAAATAAGGGTATTAAATACAGATGCCTAAAAACTCTAAGTACTACCACCCTTCTCTTCTTTTCCTCTATTTTCTTTTTAACTATGCATGTAAGTTGATTGTTTTCTCACTTTTGATTGGAGTCAAGGAATGAATAACTTTGTTAAGTAAGTATCTAATATTGACATTGATAGTTTTAACCTTGTCTTTTCTACCCTCAGCTATTACACGTTAAAAATGACATTACGATCTCGTTCATTTCACCGATTTGAGTTTAAAATTCGAGCTTTGTTATAGTAAAAAGCTCTCAGAAACACACATCTAACTTTTTGTTATAGTAAAAAGCTCTCAGAAACACACATCTAACTTTTTGTTATAGTAAAAAGCTCTCACATAAAATCACATTTTAACTCGAATTAAAAACTCGAATCAGCAAACTAAACGGGCCCTACATTCAAAATGTCTCTTATTATATTATTTATCATCGTGTAATAATAATCAAGTTGATGGATACGGATATTTGTTTAAAACATGCAGTAACTTTTACTTTCATATCTATGTATCAAAAAGCCAAAACATGTACTTAATTAAATAGTTAGGCCCTGAAAGCAATGTAAGTGTGGAACTTCAGCTTATCTGTACATGCATTAGTTTGAAAAAAATTACCCAGCAGTTAATAAGATTGTTGACATATTTGTGATTTTGGCTCATTCAGCTTTGAATGGTCAAGTGCGCTTTTAATATATGTATTTTTCTCGCTGAATCACAGTTAATGAAGTGACATGTATAGTTTTTCTAATATTACTTATTTTGTTTGTTTTTTATTTTTGGGGACTTTATAGTTTATAGAAAGAGAAAAAGAAACGCCAAGAAAATCCCAGTTTGTAATGTTATCTTTGTTTTTTGGGTACCTTTTTTTTTTTAGTTCTTTTGCCTTTTGCCTTTTGAATAAGGGAGATTCTCTAGTACAGATAGGTCATATTTTTTTCATTATTAAATTTGTATATTTTTTTATTTTTATGTAATTTTATATAAATCTAACAGACATAAAATCTGATCTATCGGTATATTAACCTACCACCGAAAAAAGTTTCTCTAAATAATATTCGGATTGATTCTTATAGTGATTACTGTTACGGGGTAATTCCCAATTTCCTAAAACAAGAACCATTCCTTTTTTTTTTAAAGAATATTATGGAAATTAAGGTCTTGTTCAATTTATGATTCAAGTCATATTACTATAGTATTTTTTCTCATATAAATTTAAATTTAACTTTTTTGTTATGATATTTTTTTCTCACGTACACAACTCAAATTATGATTTGAGTTGTGCAAATAAATTCATTTCGGCCCTTCTAAACTTTTATAACAGAAACGGGAAGCACTAGAGATTCATATGTCCGAAACGTTTCTCCGAGAAATGCGGCTACTTGCCGCCTCTTTGCTTTCCTATCACTTTTATTTTGTTTGTTTCTTTTGTTTTTTTTTTTTGTTTTTTGTTTTTTTGAGAAATAACTTTTTCTAAAGGTCTTTTTCTATAATATAAGCTCATTCTGCGGAGAGAGAGAGAGAGAAAGTAATATAATTTTTTTTTTCTGTTCTAAAAACGAAAAACAAAAACACAGAGTTGTGGGTTGCCCTTATTTTACCCTCTGCTGCTGTATGTGATAAATCACCCAGCTCAAAGCCAATTAGTTTATTCATCATTATTTTAATTATTTTTTATTTATTTTTAATCAAATCTCTCTCTCTCTCTCTCTCTTCTTTCTCTTTGTTACCTAGAACTAGTCTTTCATCTATCCTTCTTTGTGTTGCGTATGGAGAAGAGCAGTTTTGTGTGAAAAGTCAGCGTCTCTCTTCCTATCCTCTCTCTAAAAACCATTTCTTTCTTCTAATCTTCATCGCCTTTTCTTTTCACAAGTAGAAACACAAACATCATCTTCTAAACCAGCTTATGTTTTTTTTTGCTTTTCTCTGCTTAATTATTCTTCCCTCTCGCTCTCTCTCTCTCTCTCTCTCCTAAAAACTCCCTCAAAACCAAGGCCCCCATCTCCCCAAAACGATCATCACAAAAATCCCGTTTACACCAAATCTCTGCGTGCCCTTTTCACGCCAAGAACCAAACAAACAATTATTAACTTCGCTAGGGTTCATCTAATGACACTTCCAGTACTTCTTCTTCTCTCGTACTTACTATTTTTGCCATAAGAATTTTTTAAAAGCATGTGCAGTTTGTTCCTTCCCAGGAACAATAATATTATGGACCATAATTTCCAAGGAGATTTGACAGACATATTACGAGCCAGTGGTAGTACTAGTGCTGGACCTTCTTCTGTGAATTCCGGTTATGGCGAATTAGGACTTCCGAACATTACAGACGACAACAACAACAGCAACTGGCAGTTCCCCTCTGATCTTCCCTTAAATTTCCCATCAATATCCTCCATGGAAGACCTTCCTCGGGACAGCTTCGGAGATCCCTTTTCCAACATGAGAGATCCGCTTTTCCACGAGCTCAGCGACGTCCCTCCCGGCCCCGCCTTTTTCGGAAGTCCTAATTCGGAAAACATCATCAGCGACGGCGGTGGCGGTGGCGGTGGTTTTGGCGAGATGCTAGGGCCGAGCCATCATCATCATCATGTCGGTCTTGATCATCATCATCAAGAGGACGTGAAGTTTAGGCCAAGCTGCAACATCTTCTCCCGGATGCTCCAGATCAATCCGAGTGGAAAGCTGCCCGCGGCCACGGCGGCGGCGGCTGGAGCTACGACGTCGTCACCGCAATGCGATTCGGCGGCGAATATGGCCACCGCAGCCTCGCCGAGGGGAATTAAGGCTGCTGCTGTGATTTCAGGAGACATGATTAATGTGAACAGCTCACAACAAGGTTGCTTGGTTGAGAACAACACCGGTTCTGGGATGCAGATCTCATCGCCACGGAATCCGGGTATCAAGAGAAGGTAAGTGTGTATAAATAATATTTTAATTAATCAATTATAAATTTTAGTATTGTTTGGGACAAGTTGGTCTAATTCCGTGATTTACTAGCTGTGTATGAAGGGTCTTGATTGAATTAATATATGGGCATTTTTTTTTAGTACTTATTAATTTCGAGTAATAAATGGGGCTAATTTTGATTTTATGTGTTAAGGGTTCATAAATTAACATCTATATATAGTTTAAAATGGGATTGGTTTTGGGAAGGGAATAATGAGTTTGGGACTTGGGTTCTTTCTTTTTTTTTTTTTTTTTTTTGACAAAAAATTAACATAAATGAAGATCTAAAGATAATACGAGAGAAATTAGGGGTATGAGAATTCTCTCAAAAAAAATTGTGAGGTACAAATCTTGATCATCTTCAGGTGGAATTGGTCAGTACGGTCAACATTAAATACCACCAATGTTATGATCATTTCTTTGATAGGTTTTAATCATCAAAAAGGGATATAGGGGAGTAGCTTCTTGTGTCACAATAGTATTCACACAGACTTAGCGCTTTCATGTATTATTTGGAAGTACTACAACTTTTCTTTCCCAACCCACCTGGAAAATAACTGTGGTTTTCATTACATATATTGGACATTTTCTTTCTTCACCTTCATGCTTTCTTAAACAACACAGTAGTAGTACTTAATTCTGCTAAAAAAGTGATGGGACAAAAACATTAATTATCCTAAACGTATATAATTCTGCCAAAAATCTTCTGCAATCTCTTCATAATATCATGACCAATTTTGTGCCATTATTAATTTGTCTGGCTATGGGAATTTGAGAATTTTTTTTTTTTTTATTTCTGTGTTTTTTTTTTTTTGGGTTCATTTTTGCAGAAAGAGTCAGGCAAAGAAGGTGGTATGTATTCCAGCACCAGCGGCGGCAAACAGCAGAGCCAGTGGAGAAGTAGTTCCTTCTGATCTTTGGGCTTGGAGAAAGTACGGTCAAAAACCCATCAAAGGTTCTCCTTATCCAAGGTAAAGTAGTGTAATTTTTTTTCCAGTATATATTTACATCATCCTTGTTTCATTCTAGGTAACAGAAAATTATTCCTAAGATTATAACTAACACTTATAAGGCTGCCATTTGCATATCATTTTCTCTGACAAGTACAATTCTACTACTAATATACTATTATTATTTTTACTATTTATTAATTGATTTAGTCATAATTTTGGCGAAGATAAAATTTTCAACGCATATGTTACACCCTTAACTTTTTTATTTTTATTTTAATAACACCCGAGTGAGGAGTATAGTGCAGGATACGGTAGGATTAATTAGATACCAATTCAGTTGGGATTTTTTCATACTTTGATGCTAATTATCCTCACTCACCATTTATTGAAGAAAAAAAATTTAAACACATAAAAAATAGCAACATTTCAAAACTTATTTTTACAATAAAAGGGTAACTATATGAAAGATACAAAGAACATTCCAATTAAATTAGCACCTAATTAATTCTTACCTCATCCTGCAAATATTTTTTTCAAAACCTAGCTAGTAGAAAATGTGCCTTTTCTTAAAAAGTGTGATCATGTGAAAGTTTATCTTTGGTTAATATAACTAGATGTTAATTAGTGTACATGCATTCTTTTAATTAGCATCGATAATTTTGCATTCCACTGTAAAATTGCCCATGTATATGTCAGAAAACAGTACCAAGGGTCTATTTCATTATCATCTTCCTCGTTGACATGTAATATAACAATAATGCACATATATGATCGAAAAGACAGACTATATATACAATCCTATAATCTTATATATATAGATATATATTTATATAATGTACGTGTTCAGGGGGTACTACAGATGCAGCAGCTCAAAGGGCTGTTCCGCAAGAAAACAGGTGGAAAGAAGCCGAACTGATCCAAACATGTTGGTCGTAACCTACACTTCTGAGCACAACCATCCATGGCCGACTCAGAGAAATGCTCTCGCCGGCTCAACTCGGTCTCAGCCATCAAAAAACAACAACAACAACGCAACCATAATAAAGAACTCTCCAATAAATTCTCATCTTCATCAAAAGAATAATAATAATGATAATGTCACAGCTTCTACGACAAGCCCAAAGGAAGAACAAAAGGATCATCAGATCATAATAAGTAACAACGTTGAGAACAACAACAACGGGAGTACTTCAACGACAAGTGCTTCTATGAAGGAAGAGGTTGATCAGGACGTCATTGAGAAGCAGCTGGATAGTCTCGACGACAGTGCGTTTATCTATACTGCTCCTCCTTCTGAGGTTGGGTTTGGTTATAGGCCGGCAATGCCGGGATCGAACCATGATCAGGACAGCTTCTTCGCTGATTTAGGAGAAATCGAAGCTGACCCACTAAACCTCTTGTTTGGCCAAGCTGGTTTCTCGTCTTCATCGTCATCAGCAGCAGATCATGATCATCAACACAAGGGAATGATGATGAGTAATAAGGGTTTGGATCCTTTCAATCTGTTTGACTGATCAGGAGGAGACAACGACAACGACAACGACAACGACAACGACAACAAAAACAACAACAAACAACGACAACAAACAACAACGAGAGTAGAGATAACATGGTCATAATACTCTTTTTTTTCCCTTAAGTTAGTAGTATTAGTTTGATAATATTCAAGGTCGTGATCATCCTGGGTATAAACCTAGTCGTGAGTCTGGATTGAGTTTTTTGTTGTTGAGGTTTTTGTTATTTCTTTAGTTTTTAAATCTTAGGAAGAGGGTTTTTTTTTTCTACTTTTTAAAAAAAAAAAAAAAAAACTTTTTCATTGGGCTGGAGAGAAATTAAATTAAAGAAGAGTGAAAAATTGAAGTTCTAAAAAAAAAGAGAAGTAAGACAAGTGCGGGTTGATTGCGAGAGGCCAATGGGGAGACCCTACATTCCTTTTGGAATATTGGTGGATGGGACAGAAAGCTGAGGAACAGAAGGTTTCTACAGTGAAAGGAAGTACATCCATCGGAGACATGACTAGAAAGCTCATTGAGGAGATTGATATAAAGAGATGGGACTTTGCCTTTTCATCCTTTTCAAGTGGGAAAAATTATTCAAGATCAGGTCCCAATCTTTGGTCATTTTGATTTGGTCATTGGTGGGTGTTTTTATTAAAGAAAAGAAGAAGAAGAAGAAGAATAAGAAGATATCAAGAGAAATTATAAAAAATTCATACTTTTCTTCATTGAGAGGCTATATATAGAGAGGGGGCAAAAGAAAAAAAAAAAAAAAAAAGAAAGATGAAAGATGACAAAAGAATATAGGAAAGTGAATTACTAAAAAAGCTTGACTTTTCTTATCAGTCTTGTCTAGGGATGTGTAGTGTAGATCATATAATACATGCTTTGGGTTCCTCAGCTTTCTGTTTCCTTTAATATCCATCCAAGTTGTGCTTACTGGGAACACCTTTATTTTAATGTGTTTTTACTGATCATTCAGAAGATATTGATTGTTTTATATGAGAAGCCCTTATATTGTTTTTTTATTATTCTTTCTTTGTCTATTTTCGAGCATATACTATACGTTCCAGCAAATCGAGGCTGGCATTTTTATCATTTGCAATATTGCACGTAGGATGGTCATCTACTTGGCATCAAGCAATTAATAAGTAGATTATATGTATATTTATATTAGCTTACTATTGCATATATTTTTTTTTCCTTTTTTTAGTAAGTGACTAGTAGTGTCTAAATTATTATGATTACCTTGTTTTAAAAAATGCCCACATTCTTGTTTATTTACAAAAATTTCTCCTATCATATGTATTAAGACCATTATATCCTCATATAATGAAAAAAAAAGGAAATATTGATTAAAGAACAAACTTGGTAAGAAAATGGATTCTGATATAGAGAAAATCAATTTTCCAATTTCGTTATTTACAAAGTCAACACCTAGTATTAAATTATATTAGCATTTAATGAGAATATAGTAGTTTTAAACAAAGGAAGTTTCCTTTAATTAAAAAAAAAAAGAAAGAAACTCTTACGAATGAAAAAAAAGGAATGATAACATTGTCCTTTGCCATTGATCCCAATATATATATATATATATATAAACTCTGACAAATGAAAATCAATAATCATTGTGAAAATGAATGCCAAATTTAAATTACATATGAAGAATGAAAATATCTACAAAATTTTTCTTTAGAATAATGATACAATCATTATGATACATAATATATATCTACACATAAATATGCAAAACCTAATATTATTTTATTTAGTTTAATGAAAAAATCATTTAAAACGCCAAACACAAAGCTAAACGCAATTTTCATTAGACTAATGATAAAATCATTACGATAGAGAATATATGACTAAGATACAGAATATATGACTAGAACAGATAAATATACAAACCCAAACACAATTTTGTTTAGACTAATGCTAAAATCATTAAGATAGGGAATATATGACTAATTCACATGAATATACAAAACCACAAATTCATTTCATTAGCATAATGGTAAAACCACAAATTAATTTCATTAGCATAATGTTAAAAAAAAAACACGCTCAGAAACATAAGAATTAACAAATGAAAAGGAATTACATAAAGAAAAACAAACTCACACCTGCCTTTGTGATGAAACGACCCCTGTGTTTGAGAAAACCAAAAACAATGGCTGTGTTTGAAGTTGTTTCTGTTTCTGTTTTTCACGTTTTTTGAGAGAGAAAAAAATGAAAACATGAGAGAAACGGCGTTTGGTACAATTAAAGATAAAAAATAAAAATGAAAATGATTTTTTGATTTAGTGTCAAATATGAGAAATGAAAAATGACTTTTAGGGTGCATTTGGAATTGATTTTAAAACGTTTTTGTTTTCTGTACGAAAATGAAAATGAAAACGTTTTTAGTTTCATTTTTGAATTATTTCTAAAAATGCGTTTGGTAGTTTTATTTAGAGATTGATTTTAGTTTAAAAAAAAAAACTGAAACTGAGTTTGGTGGTTTAATTTTTGAAAACATGTAATAATATATTAAATAATAATATATTAAATAAATAACATTA